ATAAACATACAGAGATAACTTCTATATATGTATTGTAATAAGAGAAAACCTTTAATGAATATAAGGTTTTAATAAGCTAAAAATAATAGTAAAATTTGTTTTAGTTACATTAGATACATTGACAAATAACTAATAAAATAGATTGACAATGACATCAACTTATGACTGATAATTTCAAGTAAGAAGTTTACATCATGTATATATTTATATATATATATATTTATTTTTTTATTGCTGAGATGTGTGGACGAGCTCACAGCCCACAAACGTCCACAGCTGGACAAATCGAAGACCTCGGGACACACAAACTACAGAGTTGTAGATTTTAATTGTAAAATTTATGTATGTAAAATGTATATTTATTATAAAACGTATATGTATGTATGTATATATATTAAAAATTTAAGTACGCTCCTCGTTTCAATTTCATCATAATAAATATAAGTGTTAATAAAATAAATTTAACAGATATAACGTAATAATTAAATACTAAATATTATTATGTTTTTGGTTTTATTTTAAAAGAATCTATGTGCCGTTAAGTTAGGAGCAAATTATTAAGGGAGGCCACAATGATGCTGAAAGCATTGAATTATAGACGCAAGGAGGAATAACACGTCATTATGGATCCGCCCGATCCATTTTAGGTACCCCAAGCACCGGTCACCATCCGCGTCGAACCCGTCGCTTGCGACGAAGGGCTCGACGAGTAAATTAGCCCACGGAGTTTCTCGCCGGATCTTCTCAGTGGGTCGCATTTCCGATCCAGTGGTAAATTCTGCGAAGCACTGCTTTTACTAGGGCCAATGCTAGCAACACCTCCGGTTTGGCCCCGAGAGCTTACCTACACGCTTGGGTAACGCTGATATAGCCCCTCAAGGCTATCAGCATAGGTAGGGGAAAAAAAAAAAAATAGATGCCGTTACAACCGCCACGCTTTTGTTATTAAACTAGTGACCCGTCTTCGCTTCGCTTCGGGAACTGTAATTTATTATTGATATTTATGATTTTTTTATCTTCATCTTTCATAATATCGAGTACTCAATTGTTAAAACTATTCAAATATTTGTCCAAATGATGTAGATAGTGTAAAAGACAAATTTTATCTACTTAAGTTACCAGATGCGATAAAAGTATTTATTTTGATATAAGCATCGGAGGAATTCACACTGTATCTTTATAAATTATAGCCTATATGTTTTTCGGATGAAAGGCGATTGCATGCAGCAGAGATGCGAATGTTGCGATGGATGTGTGGAGTAACGAGAATGGATAGAATACGGAATGAATATGTTAGAGGAAGTCTGAAAGTGGCACCTGTGATAGAGAAGCTAAGAAGTGCGCGTTTGGGATGGTATGGACACGTGATGAGACAAAATGAAAATGAGGTTGGTAAGAGAGTGTTAACTGTGAATGTGGAAGGATACAGTGGAAGAGGTAGACCTAAAAAGAAATGGATGCATTGCGTAAAAGACGATATGTGTAAGATAGGAGTCTTCTTTTTCTCCACCTTATCCCACTAGATCGGCACAGCTAATTTTTCTCTTCTATTCTCTTCTATCAGTCGCCATCTCAACACTCACTCCTCTCTCTCTGTTTCATATCGTCATTCACACACTCCATGTATAAGATGGGAGTGAACGACGAAATGCTATATGATAAAGGAATATGGAAAGAGAATACATGATGCGCCGACTCCAGGTGACTGAGAGAAGGGCAGGAGAATGACGATGATGGTGGCGGTGGTCTAAAACCATTTTCGCCCATCGATGCCCAAATATCCCGCTCAGAACCTTAAGCGCGCGAACCTAGACGAAAATCAGACGGATCCTGGCTTGAGAAAAAAATAATTTTTTAGAAGCTATAATGAACAAAATTTTAGAAACGAATGTCCTGATCTTCAACTCTTGTCCACCCAATGTTGAGTGTAGGTCTCTTCATATGCATGAAACTTTGCAACCTTTGTTAAAGCTTAAAGTCTATTGTGAAATTGAGGATAGATTAATATTGTTTGTCTTTAAAGATGTATAATAAATAGTCTTTGACATTGACACTATAACCACAATAATTTTCAAACCTATGAATTTAATTAATTATAGTCGAATTTCGACTACTGGGATACCACTTGCTTAATAAAAATACGCGTCAACTTAAATGACGCCTTAATCACTGAAGAAGATGTATTTAGATCTATTCACATTAGATGCAACTTGACACAAAATTATACAGAGAGGTGCGAATGCTCTGAACAAAACAGAGAGAGAATCAATAGCAAAATCAACGAATTAAAGTGTGCATAGATCGAAATACGAACTGTTAGGGGCGGATGGCGTCAGTCGTTTTAAAAAAAAATGGTGCGCGTGTAGCTTGGTGCACGTGAAAGAAGTGAAACTTCTTTTGCGGCGTGTAGTATTGCGGTTTTCTTCATTTTTTATCCTTAAATCAAATTTCTCCACTGTTTCGCAAGACGCCCTGTCTATTTTCTCACTCTAGCTCTTCCTAAATCGTATATTTTCTCTCTAGCCGTAACGAATTTGTCGCGAATTAAATTTTACTCTCAACGCACCCAAAGAAGTTTCGCTCCACAAACATAAGTTCTTTTCTACAACGCTATTTTATTAAAAGACACTCACAAAAATGTTGGTCTGACATTTATGTTTCAATTCCCTTAATATATTTTGACTGTACGCAAAATGATTGATCTTTACGACTGAACTGACCTTAGTGCATTACCCGAAGATTTACGTCCTCCTGAAGTTATTTCCGCGTGAACACGACTCCGTTTTGACAATAATGATATGTGAAGCATAAAAACAAGAGCAATTGAACAACTCGACAAAGGCGTGAATTGGTTTTTATATACAAGCTGTTAATGTGGCATCATCGTACAATGATTGACGGAATAATTTCTCGTTTTTAGGTCGAGCCGTGACCGGGAACGAAATAGCAACGGGGATAGATGTGAAAAAGCACAATGACGTGACGAGAAGACGTAACGCGAGTATCATAATTGAGTGCACGAGAATATGTCCGTTCCGATGGTCGAAAAATCATTATCTGTGCTTTTATTGCGACATGACATTCTCCGGTCCGTCGGAGCTTAGAGAGCACAACGATGCCCAGCACGAAAGCTTAAAGCCGTTCGAACTGAGGCGGGCTTTGAACAAAGTCAAAAAGACGGAGTTAGTCAAAGTAGACATAATGAATATCGGTTGCAAAATGTGCGGAGAATGTTTCGAAAGTTTAACCGATATCAGGAATCACATAGCGGCGGTGCACAAGAAGAAACTGAATTTGGAAATCGGCGACGGTATTCTGCCGTTTAAATTGAGCATCGGTGAGTTTAAATGCGCCGTTTGTGAGGTCGACTACGGGGAGTTCAAAACGCTTAATCATCACATGAACGTGCACTTTCCGTATTATATCTGCGAGCAATGCGGCTCTGGTTTCATGACTCCACAGAGGCTGCGGAACCACGCCCTCACGCACGACACCGGCTCGTATCCGTGTACGGTCTGCAACAAAAGCTTTCGTTCGACGAACGCTAAAAACGATCACTACGCCATTGTACACTTGAAAGCGAAGAGGCACAGGTGCCCGCACTGCTGCGAGCTATTCAGTAACTATTTCCAGCGCAACAAACACATCTCGTCAGTTCACGGATTGAAACTGAAGGAATTCAAGTGCTCTGTGTGCCCTAAAGTGTTCACGGTGAGCGGGAAGCTGGGCGTTCACATGAAATCGGTGCATTTGAAGATGAAACGTTACGCTTGCGACGTTTGCGAGTGGCAGTTTTACTCGAAATCAGAATTAAAAGACCACATGGTCCGTCACACGGGAGAGCGGGCGTATCAGTGTAGCGTTTGCAAGAAGTCTTACGCTCGGAAGTACACTCTCAGGGAGCACATGAGGATCCACGCTAACGACAGGAGATTCGTGTGTGCGGTCTGCGGTAGTTCGTTCGTTCAAAAATGCAGCTTAAAACATCACACGAAGACCCACCATCCAAACAGCATCGCTCAGATGTGCAAGGAAAGCGAATTTCATAACTCATGACTAATAGTTAGGTTCTAACGAGACAAACGGTTGATTGTGTCAATATTTTGTATATGAAACGTTTCAAAGTTTCTCACTCGAATGTATTGTGTCATTATTTTTTTAAAAGATTAAAAGTTTCCAAAATATAACGAGTTAATCAATAGGTCATTTAATTTAAAAACGTAAAACTAATACTTACATATTTGTAACAAAAGGTGGGTAATGAACAATAAACAGGATAATGAATACTAACAAAATAATGAAGAAGAGATTAGCTACAGTTATTATTTCTGTTTTTTCTAGGGAACGACACAGCGAAAAAGATTGTGCCGCTGTTCCAAGTGGCGTACGATCGAAGCCTGTGTAGACCTCTAGGGACAGTCATGAATTTCGGAAAGTTACCCTTGAAAAGAGCGATAACGTCACAGGAATCCTTCGCACGGCCAGTCTCCACTCCGTCGAGGAGTCCGTCGCCTCTCACATTTGGGGGATCGCCGATTTTAGAAGTCCTCAAAACTAAAGCTGTCTGCAAACCTAGGTACCCCAGAAATCCCGACATCAGACAAAACGCGCTCCTCATTTTCGAATTCTCATCCGCCTACCCTTTCGTGTACGGGAACAACACGTTCAAGTGCTTCGTCTGCTCCCAGCCCTACCAAGAGCTGTCCACGTTGAAACTGCATGTCAAGGATGTCCACACTTTTGCGTCTCTAAAGAGACTGATCAACAACAGACGCGAGAACATTCTCAAAGTTGACATCGAGGACTTAGAGTGTAAACTGTGCAACCACAAACCCCGAGATTTGGTCGAACTAAAGCGGCATTTGAACGAGCACGGGAAACCGGTCGATGTGGACATCCACGACAACCTGATACCCTTCAAACTGAGCACGGTCAACGGCTCGTACAAATGCGTGATATGCGACGAGAGCTTCATCAAGGTCCGGATCCTCGTGATCCACATGAGCGTCCACTTCAACAATTACAGCTGCGAGATTTGCGGCTCGGTGTTCATGACCCTGAGGCTGCTGAAAAAGCATCTGGAGGTGCACGAGACCGGCAACTTTCCTTGCGACAAATGCAGCAAAGTTTTCAGCACGCCGTACAAGAGGACCGTTCACGTGCGCGGGGTGCATCTGAAGCAGTTCCCGCGGAGGTGCCCCTTCTGCCCGGAGCGATTCAATTCGAATTACAAGCGGACGATCCACCTTCAGGACGTACACAATCAGTCGACGCGCGTGCACAAGTGCGAGACCTGCGGCCGCGGCTTCAATTTGAAGTATCACCTGATCTGCCACATCCGATCGGTACACCTACAGGAGCGGAACCAGCAGTGCGACGTGTGCCACCAGAGGTTCTGCAACAAGGAATCGCTGAAGAGGCACATGGTCATACACACGGGCGAGAAGAATCACAAATGCGATATATGCGGAATGGCTTTCCTCAGAAGGAAAAATTTGAAAGACCATTTGAGGTTGCACGAGATAGGTTAGGTTTACTTTCGAACCCGCGCGCCCCCTAGGCGCGGGGACCTCGTAGAAGGTTCGGCCCACGGCCCAAAAAAAAAAAAAAAAGGTTTAGTTTCGAAAACGGGTAATGCCGGCTTCGTAGGTTAATTTCGATAGCAGTGACTAGATAGTAGCGTGTTTGTATTGTATAAGCTGAGGCTTGAATGTCACGTCTCGAGGTCGCATTCATGTGGTTGGTGTCCATGGGCCTCGACGAGCGCTTAACGTCAGGTGAGATAGGCCGCGCGTCGGAGCGATATAAATAAAATGGTTTTTTTTTTTTAAATGGAAATAAACGCGGTCTTTATTGCGGTTATATGCGGGAAAAGATTGGATGTGGAAAGCGGAGGATTGTTCATTGTGGCGGACTATGGGAGAGGCCTACTTCCAAAAGTGGAGAGGTACAGGCTGATAATGAAACGGGGTAATACTAGAAAGGAAACAACAGTTCCAGAAAAATGTTTTTTTTTTTTGTGCCGGTCTTTTAGTGATTAACCTCTTCGCTATTGATCGTTGTCATCATATCGAGACGTAAAAGGCTATTTGGCTTAAGCGAGATTTTTGCAACTTTACAGGAGAGCCATTTGAAGTTTAAAATTTAGAAAAAATATAATAACAAAAAAAACTTCTTCGGCTATTCGAATGGAGTAAAATTAATTGAAGCTTAATTAAAAACATCAACCGATTTTTTATTTTTTTACTGCTTAGATGGCTGGACGAGCTTACAGCCGACCTGGTGTTAATGGTTACTGGAGCCTATAGACATCTACAACGTAAATGCGCCACCCACCTTGAGATATAAGTTCTAAGGTCTCAAGTATAGTTACAACGGCTGCCCTACCCTTCAAACCGAAACGCATTACTGCTTCACGGCAGAAATAAGAAGGGTGGCGGTACCTACCCGCGCGAACTCACAAGAGGTCCTACCACCAGTAATTACGCAAATTATAATTTTGCGGGTTTGATTTTTATTATGCGATGTTATTCCTTCACCGTGGAAGTCAATCGTGAACATTTGTTGAGTACGTATTTCATTAGAAAAATTGGTACCCCGCCTGCGGGATTCGAACACCGGTGCATCGCTAGATACGAATGCACCGGACGTCTTATCCTTTAGGCCACGACGACTTCAAACTTGGACTTTTTGGCGGGAACGCGAAGAGCGAGTTTTTGTAAATAGTTTTGTTTAGTTAATTTAGTGTTTCTTGAGGTTTCAATGTGGAATGACGTTGGTTTAAGGCGCCGGAATATCTAGTAGACTCTGAGAATGAGGAATCCGAAGATACTGAGAATGAATCTATTTCTAAGAAACCTAAAATATTAAAATGTACATTAATTAAAAAGGCCAAGGTAGTAAATCCAGGCGCCTTAGTAACAGAAATCGACATAATTACTTCAGTGCCCCGCGTAGGGCACCGGTGACCTACATAGCGGTCAAAGGGTTAAACAATGAAAATGTGTTTTTAGCTCTGTACATTTTAGCACAAAACAAACATGTCACCCAGAATTATTTTTATGACATTGACGGATCTTACGTGTTAAATAATTAATGTTAAATGAATGAAAATTAAAGAATTTCATTATTTTTAATCGATTTCCAATTGTATGTATTAATATTAATTAAATTTCGTGATGTAAATAAAAATGATATGTTTTAAAAGATTTTCTTTTGAAGTGAAACTTCTAATGCGATTTCCAATATATTTTTTATATTTTTCCTACCTATGCTGATGGTCTAGAGAGACCATATCAGCGTAACCTTAACTAGTAGGTGGGCTCACGGGGCTCAAACCTGACGACGTTGCTAACACGAATCCTAGGAAGAGCCGTGCTTCGCAGAATCTACCACCGGGTCAGAAACGCGACCCACTGAGAAGATCCGGCGAGAAACTCAGTGGGCTGTGTCTTTGGGTTAATTTACTCGTCGAGCCCTTTGTCGACGGGTTCGACGTGAACGATGACCGGTGTTGCAATAAGACTCAGGAGTATAATTAATAACCACCCATGCAAATCTTAATATCGCGATTCAGAAATTTACTCTTTATTGTGACAACACTCTAGTTGAGATCGTGTCAACTTACACATTCAACACAACTAACCAATTTAACCCTAAATATATTGCCCTTATTTTTTTTTTTTTATTCCACATATGGGTGGACGAACTCACAGCCCACCTGGTGTTAAGTGGTTATTGGAGCCCATAGACACCCACAACTTAAATGCGCCACCCACCTTGAAATATAAGTTCTAAGGTCTCAAGTAAGTTACAACGGCTGCCCCACTCTTCAAACCGAAACGCATTACTGCTTCACGGCAGAAATAGGCAGAGTGGTGGTACCCACCCGCGCGGACTCACAAGAGGTCCTACCACCAGTAAAATGTATAATCGAAAACTAATAATTTACGTAAGCAATTTACGCAAGCAATTATCATGATGCCTACCTATAAATGTTATAAAATGCCTAAGAGCCATGATTTTATCGAGTTGTCTGCGTCGCAAGGCAAGTGTGTGAGATTCAGACAAACATCTTTGTGTTTCTAGGTTCAGTCCAGAAATCGTGTCCAGAGATCGTTGAATCGGATTCAACTATGACGATTAGGGATGACGATGGTACAGACGTAACTCTGACCGTGTTGAAGACTCCTATATCGCTGGGCACCTTAAAACCCGAGAACAGAAAAAATACGACGCAGAATATTCGTGAAGAACCCAAGAATATCAATAAAATGCTGGTTTTGAAGGAGCCTCTGTCGCTAGATCGAATCGATTGGGATAACCTCACCGAAGTCACGTTTAACGTGAAAACAGTGGAGGAGCGATACGTTTGTAAACAAAAGAAGCGCGATAAAGAATCGAAAGAATGGATAAGAAGCAGTATGAGCATCTTCGATAATACCTATACGTATCCGTTCGTGCACACGGGCGGTCGATACAAATGCTTCGTTTGTAGGAAAACGTTTTTCGAAACCAATTCGCTGCGAGACCACACGCTCGAGCACAAGTCCGAGGACCTGGAGAAGGAACTGCAAACCAAACAGAGCGACGTCAACATCAAAATTGACGTATCGAACGCGCAATGTAAACTGTGCGACCTAAAGTTTGGCGGTTACAAGGAATTGAAGCTTCATTTGGTCGAGCACGGCCTGGCAGTAAATCTAACCGAGGACAATCTTATACCGTTCAAACTGAATTCGGACGTGTTCGAGTGCCAAGTCTGCGGAGAGGGCTTTCTGAAGCTTCGGCTACTGATCGTGCATATGAGCTGCCATTACAATAATTACAGCTGCGAGATATGCGGGTCGGCGTTCATGTCGCTGCGTCTACTGAAGAGGCATCTACAGTGCCACCAGACCGGCAACTTCCCGTGCGATAAATGCGACAAGGCCTTTAGTAGCGCCACGAAACGGACTCTGCACGTGCGCGGAGTTCATCTAAAGCTGCTCCCGAGGAGATGCCCGATTTGCCCGGAGCGTTTCAACTCGAATTACCAAAGGACCAAACATTTGAGGATCGCGCATAACCACTCGACTGGGCTTTACCGCTGCGAGACTTGCAGCCGAGAATACGATCTCAAATACCATCTTTTATTGCACATCCGATCTGTACATTTGCGGGAGCGAAATCAAGAATGTCACGTTTGTCATTCGAGGTTCTTCTCTAAGTATTGTCTCTCCAGGCACATGGTCGTTCACACGGGGGAGAAGGGCTTCAAATGCGACACCTGCGGTAAGGGCTTTTCCAGGCGGAAGAATCTTCTGGAACATTCTAGAACTCACGAGGTTCAGACGTGCGCTGCTTGCGGGCTGCAGTTCGTAGATCATTCCAATTTAATTGCACACGTTAGTAATGTGCATGGTACTTTGTAGTTTATTTATTGCCTTACATCAATTACGATGTAATGCAATCTGATTGTAAGAGATCTTGTTGAGAAATAAAAAGTATTATGCAACTGAGCGTTGTTTTTATTGAAACATCTTTGCGTATGTAATATAGTAAATATAGTATAATGGAATTTAGTAGAGCTTCATCGGACTACAGTTTGTATTAAAAGGCAAAATTTTGTTTTTCTCAGACGAGACACTGTCGCGGCCATGCCCCAGAACTAGCATTTGGCAAATGACTATATCGGAGAGACAGAACGCGGCAACGTTCATTGAACACACGACAGTGAAGCCGTTCTTTTACCAGCAAGCGAATTTCAAGTGCTTCTACTGCAACGAGGTCTTCCCGGAAATACACGCGGTGCTACAGCACACGGCCTTCCATCCAACGCCGGACAGGACGAGCTTACTAAAACAATACCTGCGCAAAGGGAAAAGAGTCATCAAAGTCGATATATCGTCGTTGAAATGCAAAATCTGCGACCAAAAGTACTCCGATTTGGATGATATCAGGAGGCACTTGACGGTCGCCCACAAGAAAGAGTTCAATTCGGCCGGTAATGGTCTAACGGCGTATGATTTAAGCACAAACAACAGGATGCTGTCATGCCACAAGTGCTTGAAGACTTTCAACTCGTTTTTCCTCCTGAACAGGCATATGAACGCTCATTACAACGTGGTCTGCGAGACCTGCGGCCTGGGCTTCATGTCGCACCAGAGGCTGATCAATCACAGGATCGTCCACGAAGACGGCGTCCACAGATGCGACAAGTGCCACGAAGCGTTCCCGACCAAACTGAAATTGCGCTACCACATCTTCAAGAGGCACGAAGCGGCGAACGCAAAGAAAAGGAAACCTTTAAAATGTCCCCATTGCTTGGAGAGATTCTCGGAGCATTACCGCAAAATGACCCACCTGAAGGAGGCTCACGGGATAACGTTCACGTTCGAGTGTCAAAGCTGCAAATCTGTTTTCCCCACGCGCCGAGCCCTAACGGAGCATACGACGAAACTGCACACCCAAAAGATACAGTGTAAGGTCTGTGGTAAGTGCTTCGGGACGCAGTCACTGTTAAAGATGCACGCCAGAGGGCACAGCGGTGAAAGGAATTTCCTCTGCGACGTCTGCCAGAAGGCGTACATGCATGAGAGGACTTTGCGTCAACACATGCGAGTCCACGGCACAGCTTGGAGGTTCGTGTGCCCGGAATGCGCTAGCGGCTTCCACAATAGGAACGATTTTAACAAGCACATGAGGCAGTGGCATCCACAGTGGCAGCTGAGGACCGCAGTGAAGAAATTCGGAAACGAAATCGATCATTGAAGACAAGGGCTCTTCCCTTGATTAAGTTGCAAGTCAAAAAGGGGTACAAGACTGGATATTTTTAACGATATTATTATACCAAAGGTTTTTTGTTTGTTTTATTATTAAATTTTTGGGCTGGGCGATGCAGTTGTTGTTCCTAGTAAACTCAATGGTGGCGTCCTCAAGAAAACGTGTTGTTTTAGTAGTGCCCAATTTATGTGTGTAATTTATAATGTCGACAAAAGCTTCGGTGAGAATAAACATGGATTGATGGGGAAAAGTGTTAGATGTGGTACATATCGAGGGAGCTGGGCTGAAATCACATTCTCGGCTGGGTTTCTTTATTTGGGTTTAATTGGGTGGACGAGCTCACAACCCATTTGGTGTTAAGCGGTCATAGAATCCCATAGACATCAACAAGGTAAATACTGCCACCCACTTGGAGACGTGTGTTTCAAGTCTCAATAAAACTCCTAGCGTTCAAACCAGAACGCATTACTGATTCACTACAAAGATAGGCAGAGTGGTGGTACCTACCCGCGCGGACGTACAAGACGCACTAGCGCAAGGATGAGCAACACGCGGTCCGCCAAGCATTTCTAAAATTGAAATTATTTTATCGACTTTCTCCCATCAAGTTGTTTTTCTGTCCTTTTTTTGTTTATTTTTATTTTGCATTAAATTTTGTATACGAAATCTTTACTTTTTTTTCCTTTTTTTTTCTTTCTAATATTTATTATATATAAATAAAGTTTCGTAGATTATTAATAAGAGTTGCATAAGATATGTGCGGCCCGCCAAAAAAATTAATATTTAAATTGGCCCATTGATTAAAAAGGTTGCTCACCCTTGACTCTAGCGCATCAAAGATAAAAAGCCCGGTTCATTTGTGTCGATCCACCAATTTTTGTAGTGAAATACGTACAAGACTTAATACACATCCATGAATGGCTTACACGAAGGATTAACATCGTGGAATAAAAATCATACCACAACAATGATAATTTGCGTCATTACTGGTAGAGGATTACTGGATACCTTGCCTATTTCTGTAGCGAATTAATAACACCTATTATTTGATGGATAGGGCATGCGTCTTATCCTAAGTGGCGCTAATGCTTCGACGGCGACTAATTTTTGAAGAATTCTTCGGGATGGTCCCGTCATCACCATTTTACCATCGTGCCACCGCAGCAGAATATTTACAACCACCAGGAAACACGGTATTGCGTTTGAAGGCACAATTTTTGCCTTTTTGCTGGTCACTTCAGCGCTTCCTTTAGCTTATATGAAAATAAGACGGAAAAAACTTCCCGCCAAATCCACTAAGGAGGGTGACCTGAAGTAGTTTTTAAGCTAGGTTATGTCAAGAGTGACAGAATCGATATTATGATTCCGAATAAAGATACCGTTTATAATTTGGACATGTGCAGACAACAACAGTATTATTTATTGTATTATAAAATTAAGAGTGTATGTAATTCCATTATAAATAATAAATCATTATTTCTTGCTGTATTATTTTTGACGTTCAAAACGCGGGGCGCCATCTTTTAGTTCAGAGTTCATACGCCATCTAGCGACAATTTCTTAACTAACTTCAAGATCGGCTTGGAACGGAGCTAAGGACTTTTTTTTCCTACCTATGCTGATTGCCTTGAGAGACTATATCAGCTTCGCCCTAACGTGTAGGTGAGCTCACGGGGTTCAAACCGGAGTGGTACTAACACTGGCCCTAGCAAGAGCAGTGCTTTGCAGAATCTACCACCGAATAGGAAAAGCGACACACTGAGAAGATCCGCCAAGAAACCCAGTGGGCTGTGTCTGTGGGTTAATTAGCTCGTCGAGCCCTTCGTCGCAAGCGATGGGTTCGACGGGGACGGTGACCGGTGCTTGTGGTACTTAAAAGCACCGTTAATGGATTCTCCTGGCCCGTAATGACGTGTTTTGGGCGAACAAAGCGAGCTTTATCGTTTCTCTTATATACAGGATTCCCTCCTTCCTATTACAAGAGAAATTTGATTTAAGGATGAAAAAAATAATGAAGAAAACCATAATACTACACACCCCAAAAGACGTGCAACATTTTTTTATATATTAATTAAAACAACATTTATTATTATAGCTATATATACGATATATATACGATATAACAAGCATGTCATAATAAAACTTCAGTACTTTTCCACGACAAATATTAGTTTGATACGAAAGCGTGTAATAGGATAATCGGTAAAGCCAATCGCTTTTATGACACCCTTTAATTTTCTAGCAGGTCAACGAGAAGCCGCGACGAGTATATGGCAGATGACAGTCAACGAAAGAAGAAATGCATCCCTATTTCTAAAGTACTGCACCGTCAGACCGTTCATATTCATGGGCTACTCCTACAAGTGCTTCTATTGTCAGAAGTACTTCTCTGATTGCGTAGACCTGTTACAGCACACCTCCGGACATGACATTGACAGTATTGACGTTATATTAGACAAATACATCCCTCAAGGCAAAAGGATCCTGCAAGTTGACATTTCGAAACTAATCTGCAAATTGTGTCAGGAATACCGTAAAAATTTAGACGGAATGCGAGAACATTTGATTGAAACGCACAGTATCGAATTCCGTGAAGGCTTCAACGGTATGGCGGAGTATAATTTAGAATTTAAAGACGGCTTCTTTAATTGTCATGTCTGTGAGGAGAGGTTTCACGATTTCCCGCTCTTAAAGTCTCACATGACGTGCCATTTCATGAAAGTCGTATGCGAGACGTGCGGCACAGGGTTCCTGAACCAACACGCCTTATTGAGCCACAAAGAAAAGCACTCTGACATCAGATATGATTGCAGAAAATGTTCGAAAACGTTCTTTAAAAGGAATCAATTGAAATATCACAACGAGATCGTTCACTTGGGCAGGGCTCGCGTTAAATTAAAACGATGCGATCATTGTCCGGAAACCTTTAAAGAGCATTACCGAAAAATGTTACATCTGAAGCAAGAGCACGGAATCACAAAGAAGTTTAAGTGCCATTTGTGTGAACACAGCTTCGTGACCCGACGTTGCCTCACCGAGCATAATAACAAAATACACGCGCAAAAATACAAATGCGACGTATGTTCGAAGTGTTTCGTCGTAGAGTCCAGATTGAAGCAGCACTTGCTAGGGCACACCGGGGAGAGGAATTACAAATGTCCGATTTGTAAGAACGCTTACATGCACAAGATTACTCTAAAGAAACACATGTCGAGGAGTCATGACACGAACAAGATGGCTACAGCGTCCGGATCTAGTTTGGAAATTAAATGATAATCCCAAAGAAAAAAAAATGCGACGAGCAGCAGCTAAGGGCGGGACTTTTTGGCGGGAACGCGACGAGTGAAGTTATGCCCACGGCGGCAAATTTTTAAGGGCGGCAAAATTTTGAAAGTAAAACTTTTTTTTACGCTTATCAAGATTGCTCAATATAATTAATTAATTGTAATACTTAATAATTTTCTTTTTAATCAATAATTCAAGAAATTCAATTCATCCATTATTAATGAATTATAATTTTGGCACTTTTAAAAAAAAAATCAACATGATTTAATCAATTTATTTCCTTGGAGATTTAAAATAATAATCGATTTTTCTATTTTCTGTAATTAAAAAAAAATATTTTTTATTTTTTGATGTAATATAGTCACTCTTAGTCAAAATTTATAATTGTTAGAAAAAAAACAAATATTTATTTGTTTTTAGAATATATGACCTATGACAATGTTTCCGGAATAAATAAGTTATTTTAATTTTGAAAAACAAAATATATAAACTATAACTTTAGGTAAAATTCCAGTATTGGGGCGGATTTTTTTCCGGTGCCCAGGAACGGCATTAAGTTTAATAAAATTAGACTTGGCTTAAAGTTCTTAGTTACCAAGTCATAAAATCCCTGAAAATTTATGAATTTTTTCTGTTATTTTTTTTTGTTGCTTAGATGGTTGGACGAGCTCACAGCCCACCTGGCGTTAAGTGGTTACTGGAGCCCATAGACATCTACAACGTAAATGCGCCAACCACCTTGAGATATAAGTTCTAAGGTCTCTTTATTACACGATGTTATTCCTTCACCGTGGAAGTCAATCGTGAACATTTGTTAAGTACGTATTTCAATAGAAAAACTAGTACCCGCCTGCGGGATTCGAACACCGGTACATCGCTACACACGAATGCACCGGACGTCTTATCCTTTGGGCCACGACGACTTCTGTGTGTAACAAACTCATAGTTCAATTCAAAAATCCGTTGAAAAGCGATCAATAAAGGCAGCGCCACTGTAGCGAGTGATGTGATTACAATGTCAGAACTAAAAGACGTCATAATATTTTTTTAAACTCAGCACACAACGCTGTTGTGTTGTTTTAATGGGATCTATATATTAATACGTGAAGCAAAAACTTTGCATCCCTTTTTACGAAAATTGCGCGGACGGAGGAGTATGAAATTTTCCACACTTATAGAGAATACAGAGAAGAAGTGCACGATGCTATTATTTTTTTTAAATAATGCATAACAGATACATTAAATCAATAAAGGAAACATTACACACACTACATACCATGTATTTGACGCAACACGCATGCATACTATTTATTGTCAAAAACTTATTCTTGAAGTCTGTTGTCAAACTGAGATCAAATATTGTTTGTCTTTGTTAATATTTTTATAGTGTAGCCATGGCGAAATTTGTTATTTTAGAAGTATAAAATATAATTATAATTGTGTACAAACTTACAATTCCAATTAATTATAGTCGAATTTCGAATACTGCGGGACCTCTAGTTTTGATTATTATGTAACTACACGCTTTCTCTACTTGTCCCCTATTTATTACAGTTGTTCTTCCCTCTACCCTGCGATTCCCACACTAACTTGAAACACCTTCAGGTTATTCAATCCCGATTTTACAGGATAGCCGTCGGAGCACCATGGTTCCTGAGAAATGTGGATCTCCACGATGACCTGGAGCTCGACTCTGTCAGTAAGTATCTACAGTCGGCATCATTGCGCCACTTTGAGAAGGCGGCACGACATGAGAACCCTCTTGTCGTGGCCGCTGGAGACTACATTCTCGATCCTGTAGACCGAATGGTAAACAGTCGACGTCGCCCTAAGCACGTCATTACGGAGCCTCCCGATCCATTAACGGTGCTTTTAGGCTCCGCAAGCACCGGTCACCGTCCTTGACAAACCCGTCGCTTGCGACGAAGGGCTCGACGAGCGAATTAGCCCATAGACACAGCCCACTATTTCTCGCCGGATCTTCTCAGTGGGTCGCGTTTCCGATCCGGTGGTAGATTCTGCGAAGCACTGCTCTTGCTAGAGCCAGTGTTAGCAATACTCCGGTTTGAGCCCCGTGAGCTCACCTACGCATTCAGTTACGCTGGCATACCCCTATAAGGCTTAGCTAGCCTAGCTTACCAGCATAAGTAGGAAAAAAGAGAGAAAAATAGTTTTATATTAGTCGTATGTAGATTTTATTACATACATTTGTTAATTTTTTCTGGTTTAAGATTCAAATTGTGTTTGTTCTAAATTATTACCTACTTCATTTCTACACTATCTTAGCTTGTAATATGCAAATTTCTTTCTAATTCAAAATCTTACTTTTTTACTGGTGGTAGGACACCTTGAGTCCGCACGGGTAGGTACCACCCTACCTCTACCCGAAAAAAAAAAAAAAAGAAAAAAAAAAAAAAGATACCACCCTACCTATTTCTGCCGTGTAGCAGTAATGCGCTTCGGTTTGAAGGGTGGAGCAGCCGTTGTAACTATACTGAGATCTTAGAACTCATATCTCAAGGTGGGTAGCGGCATTTACGTTGTAGAGGTCTAAGGGCTCCGGTAACCACTTAGCATCAGGTGGGCCGTGAGATCGCCCAACCACCTAAGCAATAAAAAAAATCTAAATCAAATTGGCACTTCTTTTCTGGCGCGAACACAAAGAGCTATTTCTTTTTTATTTAACCTAATCTGGATTCCCAGCATTTTAAGGCGAAACCGCGGGCGCAAGCTAGTTAAAAATAAAACACCAATTATGGCGGCTAAAATCTTTATTCGAAGATAATTATTGAGGGTACATACTATATTTCACTAAACGCTTAAAAACAATTACATAACATATTTTTTGCTTAAAACAAAAATGGATACATCACGATTAAACAGCCATATTTGTACCTAAAAGTTTAATGTAGCCTGTTTAAAAAAAATTACTACTAAATGGTAGAATTGAATGGGGTTTCAAAAGTTTGTTTAGACGACCTTCTGGAGGTACTCGTCGAAGAGGTACACGGCGAGAGACAAGTCTTTCCCGTTGTTCTCGGTTATGAACCGCTTGAGGTCCGAGGTGTGACCCGCGAGGCTACGAATCGTATCGGCTTGCTGACTCACGAATTCCTCCTCGATGTATTGAGTGATCTAAATAAATATTAATATTGTTAATTAGGAAATTTTAAAATTCACCAGAAAATTCATGACGCATAAGCCATAGATAGCTAGCATACCTAGTCGTCATATTTTTTTATTTTTTTTATTGCTTAGATGGGTGGACGGGCTCACAGCCCACCTGGTGTTAAGTGGTTACTGGAGCCCATATACATTTACAACGTAAATGCGCCACCCACCTTGAGATATAAGTTCTAAGATCTCAGTATAGTTACAACGGCTGCCCCACCCTTCAAGCCGAAACGCATTACTGCTTCACGGCAGAAATAGGCAGGGTGGTGGTACCTACCCGCGCGGACTCACAAGAGGTCCTACCACAAGCACAGAAATCCTTAAGCACGCAAAATACTGACCTCGGCATCGTGGAGGAGGTCGCTGTTTTTAGTGACTTCCCTGTGGATGAAGAAAATCCTCTCGGCGAGCTGCTTCTGCGTGTCCAAGGCTTTGGCCAGGGCTCCGATCTCGTGGCCGACCTCGACGGTGTAGTTGCTGCCCTTGTCGCCTTTCAGTGTGGTGTGACTCGAGAAGTCCATCTTCCCACCTGATTTCGATGGGGGAGACTTAATAATCGCCAAGTTCATGACAAGCCTTATGTCGAGACGAGTATGTGTACGACGTCTCGACTTTGATGTTAAGCATTTAACAGAGGCCATAGACATCAGCTAACTAAATGCTGTCCACCCACCTTGAGAGAGGAGTTCTAAGTCTTAGTTTTTATAGAACAACATCTGCCCCACCCTTCAAACTGAAACGCATTACTGCTTCACGGCAGAAGTAGGCAGGGTGGTGGTACCTACACGTGTGGACTCACAAAGCGCCCGGTCACCAACAAAAATTCCTTTTTTTGCGGGTATGGTGATTCATTACACATTACTGTTACCTCATTGTGGGAAGCCATTCGTTTCAACATGAATTAAATATGTATTTCATTATAAATATTTGTGGCCTGGCTGTCTTATTATTTATACCAGGGCGACCTCAATATTTGCACTGAAATATACAAGATAAGACTATCTTTTAGACTAGGGCGACCTCAAAGTCTTTTCATCTCATTCACACGTACGTCTATGCGACTCGGTAACCATTTAGGAACAGATCATCACCCATGTACCACGGGTTCGAGATCCGGTCGTCAGAATCTTTGTGAAAACCGTATAGCAACCATATTTCATTTCATATTCCCGGCACCCACGACACAGAGCAACTTAAATTAGGGGGTGGGGGTTATTGAACAAGTAACACTGAATCGAAGCTCCCTGAAAGAGACAGAAATATTCTCTATCCTTCTTTTTTATAAAGATTTCTATTAAAAACACCCTCAATCGCCACTCACCCCTCTTAGTGACGTGCTTTATGAGACCAATGGTTTTCTCCCAAGAATCGTCCGATAATTTCCTGAAGAGCTTCGCGAATCCTTCCCTGTTCGTCTGGTAGTTGTTGAAGTAGGAGGCCGATAGGAGATAATGGTAGGAACGTTTCAAATACAGTGAGGCTAATGCCTTCAGTTCGTTCGCTACAACGTGGTTGTCCTTGAATTGGCCGTAATACGCGCTGCAGTGCGGCAGACCTGTTGACAGGAAATTCGGTGTTGCCAGAATACAAAAATATTAAACTACCACGCGTACTTGCATATGACATAGGCGTGACAATTGAGATTTTTTAAAAGAAGACGAAGAGTTTATTTTTTTATTTATTGCTAAAATGGGTGGACGACCTGGCCAACCCATGGACCTCTACAACGTGAATACCGCCACCCACTTTCAAGATATAAATTCTAAGTTCTCAGTATAGTACAACGGCTGCCCCGCCCATCAAAACTAAACGCATTACTGCTTCACGGCAGAAATAGGCAGGGCGGTGATACCTACCCCTGCGTACTCACAATACGTCCTACCACCAGTTAAAATTAGTTCTCTGTTAACGACGATCTCATAGTCCTCCTGGTGTTAAGTAGTTACCGGAGCCCATAGACATTAACAAACTCTAGGTCTCAACCGGGAGGGAAGGTTTGCTAAGAGCTACACGCTACGCTACAAGCTACACGACGTAAAAGGTCACTAAGTCATGAATCACACAAATGTCACACAATGCCCAATTCACGAGAACAAACAAACTTAAGTCTTGCTTCGTTGGTAACAAAAAGTAAGCTTTATACATACATATACATTAGTATATCTTTCCATTCGAATCTAAAAAGATAAGACATTGGAAGCGTATCTTTAATCTCTTTAGATAAGGGGACAAAGATTTATACGTCAATGTCCCAGACATTGAGAAATAAAAAATAAAAATAAATGGTCGTTAAACCAACACTCATAGACAACAATGTCTTCGAGAATAAATTCAAACACATGGAAGTAAAAAAATATTTTTTTAGTCAACAAAGAGTTTCATGATCAGCAATCATCTATGTATACCTAAGTTTGTCTAGTTATATATTTGTTCTAGTCTTGTTTACTTACTTAAAGTCCGTCTGCATCCTTGGTCGACGTTCTGATAGCATGAGTCTTCCTCGGCCAGCACACCCAGAGCCAGACAGGCAACGATGAGAGCATACACCTTCATATTTGATGCTGGAATAGACAAGACTAATATTAAATTAAAATGACAAATATTTTAGGACAAAAACTCCCAGCTAACAACACAATATAGCTAAACATTTGTCTTTCTGATATTACTGTAGCAACCCTGAAGGTTTAATAAATATTGGATTTATATCCAGAAAGAATGGATAATCCTGAAACACCTCATAGTAGAGCTACTGGAGTCTCAAAATAAAAAATAAAAAAAAATATTTCTTAGGTATAGTACCCAAATTAAAAATAAAGAAAAAATACCAAATTTTATGATTAAAATTTAAGTTCAGATTAACTTTTATATAAAATTACACTAGCTACTCATAGGATTTCCTGCATATAGTCCATGTAGAATATTAAAACACCAAAAAGTCCATGAATTTCATTTATTTGTAGCTGTTGTATATACCAGAAACGCACAGCAGTATAGAAAATAGCAACTTAAAAAAAAAAGCGCAATTTGGATACTACCTGAGTTTTTTTTTAAATTTGATGTCGTAATAGTTCGGCTATGAGGTGTTTCAGGATTATCCATTCTTTCTGGGACATCCTGTATAATGGTTGTTTTAACGATTTTTGTCATTGCACAAACAAGGAAAAGATCTTATTTTAACGGATTCCCATAATCCAATAAAATTAGAGGTCGTCGTGGCCTAACAGATAAGACGTCCGGTGCACTCGTGTTGAGCGATGCACCGATGTTCGAATCTTAGGCGGGAACCAATTTTTCTAATGAAATACGTACTCAACAAATGTTCACGATTGACTTCCACGGTGAAGGAATAACATTGTGTAATAAAAATCAAACCCGCAAAATTATAATTTGCGTAATTACTGGTGGTAGGACCTCTTGTGAGTCCGCGCGGGTGGGTACCGCCGCCCTGTCTATTTCTGCCGTGAAGCAGTAATGCGTTTCGGTTTGAAGGGTGGGGCAGCCGTTGTAACTATACCGAGACCTTAGAACTTATATCTCAAGGTGGGTGGCGCATTTACGTTGTGGATGTCTATGGGCTCCAGTAACCACTTAACACCAGGTGGGCTGTGAGCTCGTCCACCCAAATAAGCAATAAAAAATTTTTTTTTTTTATCAAGATTCGATCAGTAGTTTTTGAGTTATCCATAATAACACATGTACATATAATTGACTTCGATTCAATTGATTGCGTTCTCTTTTTCTTTTTATTATAAATTTGTATAATTTATTCCAACAAGTGATCTATTACACACAAAATGTTGAAGCACAGAGTACCATAGATATTTATAATGATTCTGTTTATTTTGGGCTCAACAATTAAAGGGTGCTAGATAGTGTAAAACAAAGAACTACATCATAGATCGTAAAAACATAACCACAAATTCTAAATGTCAATATGTAGTAGATTTTATAGAAATCGGATAATTAAATATCAAGTTAGGGAAATGGCAGACAAACAAGCAAATACCACAAAACATACATGTGTTTTTATTTCTATCTTTTACAATTATTATCTTTAATAGCTCATTAATGACAGTAGACTCGGATTAAATCACAGTATTACAAAGTATTATTGGTGTAATTTGTTATCTGTTGTAATCTCGCAATTAAAGATACCAAAAATTTATCAACTCATATTGGTTGGCCCGTATTGAACGACTTATCTTGTCATCAGAGTAATTGTGTTTTGATATGCAGAAGTGATTTTTATTTGTGGAAACAGTCGTTTGTACGACGTGTGTTTGTCGTGTGCCCCAGTAGGCAAAAGAGTGTTCCGCCCGCCTGGTGGTGAGTGGCTACAGTCGTTTTGGACATCACCAATGCCTACCAGCCCTACCACATAGATACTACTGTAATAAGCCTTTGTTGCAAACCCCAATCATATAATGTATTTTTGAGTGACAACAGTGTTATACAATACGGTTGAGGTTTCGACCTCATGTCTCAAATGATCCCTTGATACTAGGTACGTCGTGAGCTCATCTACGAATTTACGTCTAAAAAGACAATTAAATGAGATTACATACATACTNCCTACCAGCCCTACCACATAGATACTACTGTAATAAGCCTTTGTTGCAAACCCCAATCATATAATGTATTTTTGAGTGACAACAGTGTTATACAATACGGTTGAGGTTTCGACCTCATGTCTCAAATGATCCCTTGATACTAGGTACGTCGTGAGCTCATCTACGAATTTACGTCTAAAAAGACAATTAAATGAGATTACATACATACTGCGTAGAGGGGTCCCTCACAGATTGAAACAAAGTTCTACTACTTAAGGGTCATGAGCGGTGGTGACCACTTACCATCAAGTGACTCAATGGCAAAAAAACGCTTCTCTTCTAATAATCTTTATATTTGCGTTTTAATGCATTATCTACACTGTTGTAGTTATTGTATTTAATTACAAGACATATTTAGTATTATAATAATATGTATTTAATAGGTACCCATTCAGTTCACGATTCGCTTTAATCAACTATACAAATCACAAAGTGTTAGTAACTATTTGTCAAACTACCCGGCGCCATTTATTTGCGATAACTAAAAAAAAAAAACCTGGAAATTCTAAAGTTGAATTTTAAATCTATGGAACGTCTAAATGGCGAATAAAGACATAGGTAGGTACTCATAAACATTAAATACGTTTAAAAAGTTTAATAGTATTAAAAAAAAAAACACCATCACTTGATTTTCACAAAATACCGAATAAAACATTGAAATCAAAATGTTCGACATTTGAAATTTGAATATGAAAGAACACCTACAAATTAAAATAATTGCTAGAATCTTATCCACTACGCTCTAGTTAATATAAGTTTAAAAAAATATATATACGTTTACGAATCATTAATATTGATTTACGATTTACGCACACGATCGAAAAGATTTATTTTTTGCTTGAAATAGGCATCAAACCTAGTAAAATTAAACGCCCAACACAAAACGTTAAAAACAAAATCATATCACAAAAAAAAATCGGTTCGTTCAGTTGCTGTTATAAAAATTAGGCTGCATGCGTAGTTTCTCGAATATTTTAAACTTTTTTTATTGATTAGCATCTAGGAAATAAACAAATACGAAACAAAAATAAGCGAACAAAAAAATTAAAAAATTCTCACCGATTTATTTAGTGGCGAATTCTCGAAAAAATAACAAGTGCGTTTGACGTATGTCGAAAGTACTGCCTTTACACACACTGGCGCAGAAGGCGACTTCCAACAATGACTCGTCTAGATGAAAACGTCCGCACAAAGACAACAGATTGTAATTTATTTTAATATTTTATCAGCGTTACGATTGACAGCGGGTTAGTCGCAAAATCGAACACAAAATAAATTAGTCATTCCTCGTGAAGCTAGTCGCAGTATACAGGGATGTCAAATTTAAATTTAAATCTCCCAAGTGCCATGATAACCAACCTAGTTTATCGCTATCCCTTTCTACAGTAAAAAATGTAAATTCAAAAACAATACCTCTGTGTCCTTGACGCAGTAATATTTTTATGATATTGTTGGTTAAATTTCCTAAAATATAATTTTAAAAGGCCAGCAATTTAACTGTTAATGACTTACTGAATTTTACAAATCTGCTCAAAAAAAAGGAACACTTTTAATGCTGGTATTAAAATCAATAAGTGGGAATCTCTCCATCTCGCTATTCTCGTTTTCCTTCCCCCTCGTCCGAAATGTTTTTTGTGACGTAACCTCGAATGTTGAGGTTTTGTGTTCCGAGAAATTTCTTTAATATCGATTTTTTTACAAATAGCTAACTTTAATGTTCGTTTTATTTCCTTTTTAAGCATAAGAATAAATAATTACGCATGAAAAATAATCGTAAACTTGATTTTTATGTTTTATTCACTTCAAAATCATAAAAATATTCCATTGTTAACCTTGGAACACGAAACCTCGTAGTCATGACTCTTTTCTTTGTTGTGCAATGTAGGTTATTTCCATCTCGCTCGCTCACATCACTCGCTGTCAACACGGGATGGCCGCCTTATCGCTGCGCAGTTCATTATTTAGTTCAATTCAAAGTGACATACGCGAATAGGACTTATTTATTTGAATTTCCTGCGAATTATAAGTCGCCTTCTGCGCCAGTGTGTGTAAAGGCTTGACTTATACAACTACTGCTTTCACGAGCGCATATTTTTTTGAGTATCGTCAAAGAATCTGTGATTATAAGAGAAATTAAGATGAGGGCTGTTTTCTTTGCTGTCCTCGGACTCGTTGCTGCCCTAGCTCCTGCCACAGCTACACAGTGTGAGTACCGAAACATATTCTTACCTATTGCTTCTGTTTTTTTCTAATTTATATGATTTTTCGATTGACTCCTTTGTCGGGTAGGTTATACGAGGTACAATAAAGTTCTAGGCGCTTCCAAAAATCGATATAAGCATTTTTCTTCTTTAGTCTCCGAATTTTAATTAATGCTTTCAAAATTATTATGTAGCACGCTTAAAAAATTAAATATGTAGGTAATTATTGAAACCAAATTCGTGTACGCGCGTTGTTCAGAAACGAAAGGCAGTATGTGCCGTTTTATTTATTTTATGATCAGGAAGTCATTCAATCAAGGCCTTCAATTCAAAATCAGATGTTGTTTTTATGTTGTTACAAAATCTAACATGGGACAGGAATAGGAATAGGAACTCATAAATGTCGGAAGAAATGGTGCTTGCTATCTCTTGAATCGTTTAAGAGATTTCGTTTTTGGAAAAAAAAACACCTAGCATATTAATTACCAGACAGTTGTGTTATTCGTGAATTGCTTATTTAATTGAATTTTGTTCAACGCGTACCGTCATTTGTTTTTCCAAGTCGCCATTTANTCTAACATGGGACAGGAATAGGAATAGGAACTCATAAATGTCGGAAGAAATGGTGCTTGCTATCTCTTGAATCGTTTAAGAGATTTCGTTTTTGGAAAAAAAAACACCTAGCATATTAATTACCAGACAGTTGTGTTATTCGTGAATTGCTTATTTAATTGAATTTTGTTCAACGCGTACCGTCATTTGTTTTTCCAAGTCGCCATTTACCCAATGTTGAAGTTTCTACATTAAGTTCGACTTTGAAGTCGGAAGCGGTGCATGTATCAATTCTGCCTGTTCACTCTAAGAGAGAGAGAGAGAGAGAGATAGAAAAAGAATACACTTTTTTTTTCACACCAAAACATATCGAGGGATGTAAATCTATTTGGTTTAAGCGACATTTCACTTAAATACGCGCAATTTATTATTGTAATTAAAGGTGCGTTTTATTTGCTATTAACATCAACAGTTCGATGTTTTTAATTGAATTTCAATTAAGCAATTTTTTTTGTAATGATATGTATGAAATGTCGCTTATACCAAATTGCCTTTCACCTACCGTTTTAACATTGGAAAACATTCCACAGACAGATGTACATAATTTTATATTAGGCGGTCTTATCGAGCGATCTCTTCCAGACAAGCGTTTTTATTTAGAGGAATTTTGAAAAGATACGGCGATTTCGTTGCGGGTACAAAAAAAAAGAATAATAATGAAAAAATTTTTTTACTACATACGTATAATAATAATAATAATATGAAGTAATTATATGACTTGCATACCAATTTACTTTCGTTTATATAAGAAATCGATAGTTTGCTTAAAGTTAGGTAGGCAGCGGCTTGGCTCTGCTCATGGCATTGCTGAAGTCCATGGGCGACGGTAACCACTCACCATCAGGTTGGCTGTATGCTGTGTGTCTACAAAGGCAATAAAATAAAAAAAGTTAAATACATTTTTTATCGAACACTAGCTGACCCGGCAAACTTCGTAGTGCCTCAGTCGATAAATAAAACACCTAAACTTTTGACTTTTGAAACTGAGACCTTAGAACTCATATTTCAAAGTAGGTGGCGGCATTTACATTGTAGATTTCTATGGGCTCCGGTAACCCCTTAACATCAGCTGGGCTGTGAGTTCGTCCACCCAACAAAAGCACAAAAACATAAAAAACAAAGCGTCGCAACAGATCTTGTAAACTGACCTCATGTCTCAAGGTGACGTTTACTTTGAGGTCCGACCGCTTACTATCAAAACCACACGCGTCTCCGACCCGAAGATCGCACGCTTATGATCAGATAAGCTGTCTGCTCGTTTAAATAGAACGAGGCGACCTGTCTAAATGTCTTTCGAAGTACTAGGCTGACATAAACGTAAGGAGCTCTCTTTGAATGCGCTTTAGTACTGTGAACCGCTTCGAACAGGCCCTTGTAAGACTACGCCCACTGAGTTTCTCGACGGATCTTTTGAGTGGGTAGCGTTTCCGATCCGGTGGTAGATTCTGCAAAGCACGGCTCTTGCTAGGGCCAGTGTTAGCAACGCCTCCTGGTTTGAGCCTCGAGAGCTCACCTACATGTTAGGCTTACGCTAACAAGGGCCTCTCAAGAATATCAGCATAAGTAGGAAAAAAATGAGCCTACATGGGCAAGTTCGATGTTCTACCGCGAATCAGTCTTAGGATTCAATTGCCCTGAGATATCCTTTGAGGTTTTTGATTAATAAAACCCCTATCGGCCTGTAAACTGCGGTGTCGACAACTTCTTAACACCTTGACTACCCTGTAGGTCACTGGTGTCCTACGCGGCGCACTGAAGTAATTACGTCGATTTCTGTTCCTAAGGATTGCCTAGCATTGCTTTTATTTATTTGTTAATGTACGTTTTAGTCTTAAAAATGGATTCGGTATCAGTATCTTCGGATTCATCTTTCCCAGAGTCTACTAGATATTCCGGCGCCTTCTTTTTTTCTTTCTTTTTTCCCTACCTATTCGCTGGTGGCCTAAGAGGCTATTTCAGCTACGCAAGGACGGGTAGGTGAGCTCACGGGCTCAATCTGAGAAAATTTGCTAACACTAATCCTAGCAAGAGCAGTACTTCGCTGAATCTACCACCGGATCGAAATCGCGATCACGTAAACTACAGAGTGTCGAAAACATCTTAAAAACATGAATTCTAAGGAAACCCTATGAGTATACAAGATAAAAAAAATACCATCGGTATTTTTCGATAGTTTCTCTACCTGCCATACAAGGTCCTATTTTAAGGTCGGAAGATAATACCCAATATGCGGATACAGAAAAAACAGATACAAAAGACGCTCGTAGCCGCCATTTTTCTTTTGTTGAGCCACGCAATGAATTGTAAACGCTATTTATCTAAGGATTTTTTACACAATTTTCGTAAATGCCTTCTCGATATTTCGGCTGTTACCAGCGCCGTGATCACGGGTGGTGAAGACCGCGGCTAGGATGCTAGGAGCAGATAAATCTAGAAAATACTAATAGACTTTTCGGCGGCAACGCTTAGTGTAATGAATTTGTTAATGGCGGCTTATTACTCGTTTAGCATCTATGGACGTGCACGAATTTTGGGAATACGAAATAAAATACCTAAAATTCCATTTTAATGTTTGTACCACAGATATTGTCTTTTCTATTTAACACAAAAGATTTGGCCGTATGGCCTACGTTCCCTTTCGTACGTGTAATGGACAAAAAAAGTCTGTAGATTCGTGTTTCGAACAAAACAACGACAAAAAAGAAATCCGGTTTTTTTTCTTAATTCCGTGTATACTTTATTTGGGCACACGGTACACGTTACAAAGAATCCTAAAAAAATGTATCCTAAGAAATGATTTGAGTGATCTGACTTGGAACAAAAAGAAAATGCGTAGGTACTGCAAAAGGATAATTATGCGGACTAGCTAAAAATAACTTGTCATTAATACGCGCGTTACGCGAATTAAAACTTTGCAGTTGTATAAATAAGTGCTATTATCTGATGTTGTTTGCATTTAATTCCCACAATACCTACTTACCGGCTAAATCTTATCAAAAGAAAGCGTATAATTACCATATTGAAAAAAATATATATATGGTAAAATATTATAAAGTAGCGTGGAAATAACATGTTTACCAAAACATTCATTTTACTATCATTTAAATGTATAATGACATAGATAGAGCGTAAACAAAAATTATAATTAATGCATGTATTGAATTGTATAAGAAAACCATATAAGTCTTAAATTTGCATTAAATACGTGCGCGACAAATAGATGAATAACTCAATAACTCAATATCACGCCAACCGATTTCGATGATTATTGTTTTTAGTGTATATTAATTTGTTTTGGAATAAAAAAAATTCTATTTAAAGTCTGTTTTTGTTAAAGCATGTCTATTTACAATTGTTAATAAGTCAATAATAACATTTATAAATAACAATTTAAAAGTTACTAGTGGTCGCCCAGTAGTCAAAATTCGACTATAATTTTTAGTTTAAATTATAAGTTTGAACATTA